GGGAATGGCCCCAGCTTCCGGCTGTTGGGAATGAGCTGTTTGGGGCTTAAGGGAAGCCGTAGGATGGACGGTTTATAGGGGGGCATTCCATTTCTCCTTCCCCTGAAGCGAACGAGCAAGGAGTTCACGGAGAGATGGGCAGTTGAGGCGTGGCAAGGGCGATTCTCGAATAAAGGAAGGCAGGGGATTGTGTATATGAGAAGGCCGAGATCCCTTTTTCTTCTGGAGTGACCTGCTGAATGAGTTCTAACAAATCAACTCAGGATGCCACAGAAATGATTGTCCTTGGCAAGTGATTGCAACCAAGTGAGGCTTCAACCCGGGAGTGGGTAAGCAACCCTGAACTACTGCGCCACCCGCCCACCAACCGACCAACACGACACCAGGAATGCAAAGGACATGACCAAATGCCGCTGGAGTTGTAAAGGCGTTTTTCAGCAGACCCCTGCAAAGTAGGAGCTGCTTTCCCAGGTGTAGCAGCGGCCACCGTCTGTGTTGCGATCTGTCCCTCAGTGCGGAGTCACTGATTTCTACTCAAGTTTATGCGCTCCCCTGCGGAGTAGCACTAGCACTGAAGAGTCCGAAGGGGGTTCCGGACTTCAGGTTTGTGAATGAGATGCATTCGACCAGATCCCACAAGTGCGGTGATCACACAAACACACACATATCTCTATATATACATAGACACCTATACAAATATTGTTTTATGCACTTGCATGTTTATTCATGTGTATATTCATGTGCCCCACACGTGGGCTCAACTCTTGCCCCCCAGCCCCCTTTGCTCCAGGTGGTCCTGGCCGCGGCCGCCGACCCCAAGGCGCTGAGCTTCGCGGGCGCGAGGCTGCGGCGGGACGGCGTCTTCCTGCGGCGCCTCGCGGCCCTCCACCCCCGGGCCCTCCGCGCGGTGCAGCGACGCGCGACTGCGGGGCGTGAGGCGTGAGGCGTGAGCCGCGGGGCGGCGCGGGAGGCGGCCCGGAAGCGGCCAGGATGGCGGGGGGGGTAAGTGCGTCTACCGCGGGGGGTGTTTCCCAGGCGGTTTCCCGGTTTGCGAGACTCTCAAAAGTGGGGCAGGGTCGAGGGAAAGCGCTGGAAAATTCTGCAACTGGTGAAGGGAAATTCCAGGGACTGTGTGCTGGTGTGGGTTTCTTGAGGTTATCTGGTTTAAAGGGGACATCCAAAGGAAACCACCAATTTTGAGGCGCTTCCCCGTTCATTGACCTGCGTGTTGTGGAACTACTTGTGGACTGGCAGTCCCTGCGAATCCCATTCAAAGCAACCCAGCCTTCACTGGGTTGTTCAAGCTTTATCCACCTTAATCCTTATGTCAACAATAGGGGGTTCCCCTGCAGTTGTGTCCCGCTACAGGCTTGATGGTCAGGAAAATCGGGATTCCAGTCTGATGCTTCTGTTTCTTGATCCGGGTCAGCTTCGGGCGTAGGGTCTCACCCTCCAACTGCAGGGCTCAGCTCCGGCCGGACGAACGCTGGGGGTGATCACCTTCTACCAACTCAAGCGGACCCTACCAGATCCCGTGCGGAGGAAAATGGCCTTTCAAGAAGCTCGAAGCTCCCTTCTTGGAAGGGTGAGTCCAATCAACCTGAATTTTGCTTTCCGGGTGATGTTTTGATTGGAGTATGGGAACAAGAACAACCCTTGGGCTTGGCAGCGCGGTGCTTTGCCATCCCCGAGCTGTTCAGCTGCGCAGACGACCTGAGGCGATTGTACAGATTGTACAGCTTGCCGTGTTGGCAGAAAACATCGCGCCTCTGCGCCCAAGAGCAGTGTGCCGGACGCCGCCCCACCAACAGGTTAGAGACTGGAATTGCTCCTTCCATGCCATGTAACCCTGCCTCCTCAGAACAACAACGGAAAAGATTCCAACTCCAACCTCGCGCTTTTCATGGTAGTTTCACGGTTCCACATAGTTCATAGTTCTCACGGCTCCGCCCTTATTATATGTATCCTCTTTCATGGTTCGTGGAGCGCGGCCAGTTACCAATGTAGATCAAGTTTTGAATATGTCTTAAACTTGTTTTAAACTTCACTTTCCCAATGGTCAGGATAGGTTTCGCAATGACAAGCCTGAATCATACTTGACTTGCCCGGCCACGATAAGCCAACATGCTCTGTTTTCTGAGTGAATTGAACCCTCGTACCTTCATCCTTCAGAGAAAATGCCTCGGAAACGCAGAGTCACGGCTAACCCCTTTGAAACGGGCTTAGTTCAAGAAAGATTCCCTCAGCACAGGATGCGGAAAACATGCTGGCCCGTCAGTCACGTAATGACCATCTTTAAAGACCAAAGCTAAGAGCTCCAACAAACGAGCAGTGCCGACATCTGGCTGCCCGCACGGACACTTGAGTATGAATTTGCAAGCACCTTCCTTGCTTGCTTCGGGATCTCACATTCCCTTACGTTCCGAATGGCCAAGAAGGACTTCGCAGGATCTTCTTGAGGCGCGTCAGTGGTTGCGGTTTGGTGCTCCCTAGTGCTCAGGTGCGTGGTGTTCAATTGCTCGCCGGAGATGGACTACCTCATGGCTGCCCGGCGGGAAAGTTGCGCACAAGCATGCAAATATTCCTCGCCTGAGAAGCGAGGGGTGCAAACAGCTGGTTGGAAGGGAGCCGTTCCGGAGTTGGTATTCAAATCTCACTTGCCCGAAGCCGACCTTTTGACCTTCTGGTCTTCCCATTTTGGCTTCCCATTTTTAGTAAATGTCCCAAAAGGTGATCACCTTTTATTTCCAGGTCTTTTGGGCAAGTGAGAAATTGGCCTTTGGAAAGGAGGCTTTTGGGGACAGGAGTGCGTGGCTTTTGGCAGACCCCGAGGTTGGCAAGTTCTTCAAGGGTCTCGCCTCCAGTGGTGCCTGGTGCTGCTTCGACGAGTTCAACCGCATCTACATCGAGGCGCTTTTTGTTTGATGATGTTGTTGCCGGAGAGGGCCTGAGAGGGCTAAAGGGCTTTGTCTAAGATCTTTTTTTTTGTGGAAGTTACCTCCCCGCTTGCTCGCTAAGTAGGCTCTTATATGTTCTTTGTGTTGATGGACTCACAGATTCGCATCCAACTCGCTCCGGGTTTCCCGCAAGCAGCAGCAACCCAACCCCCGGTGGGCAATGGATGGATATGGATGGAGTCCGACAGCCGAAAGGTGCAAACCCCGAATCCCAGAGTTAGACTCTGGAAGACATAGAACGCGGTCCTTCCCGCACGGTTTCCTTGCGAAGCCAAGCCTTGAACAACATGTGCCATTCACCCAAGACAGCCCAAAGCCTGAAGCCAAAGACAAGCCCATCCGATTTTAAGCGGCGGCATCCAGAAGCTACCAACTTCATCTTGTGTCCTACGAAAACTCGCTGAAACCTTGCTGGCGAAAGGACTCCTAGAAATTCCAATCGAGCGGGTTGAACAATGCCCATTATTATTATTATTATTATTAGTTTTTTGTTTTAATTATATTATTTATTTGCTACCAAGCTGGTCCCAACCCGAAACATTGACCGCGCTTCTCCACGTCCGGACCCTCCCCTTTCCCCTTGAGGAACTTCCTACTGGGAGGCGATTTTCCAAGACCCACCCACCCGCCCACCCACCCACTCATTCCCTTCCTGCCTCCCAACTTCCAGCCACTCAGGTGCTGAGCGTGATCGCTCAGCAGCTCTTGCAGCTCTTCAGCGCGAAGAGGGAGCTGGCCTCCTACAATGCGGGGAGCCCACAGCTCCAAGGGCTGTCCAACATCCCCCAAAGCAAAGCGACCTGGACCCAGGGCAGAAAAAAAGGAAAAAAGCACGACGAGGGTGTAAACTCTACTGCCATTGGGTTGGATCTTTAGACCCCGTCATATGTCCTTTAACCAGCAAAAAGTATAACTGTTTGCTGGGGGATCTACAGCACCCAAGTAAATGTCCCAATGTATACCACGGAGTCCCTTCAGTTTTATGCGGCTTTCCCAAAGGGAGAATTGGTTGCCATACATCATAATCCTTGCTCCTCGCACACGCCGGTGGTTTGTTTGTTTGACTCCGCGGTCTCTTGAAGCCGGATGGGAATGTAGCTCATTCTTGACCCGTCGACTGGGGTTCTTGCAAAGGCCCCATGGCACCAATGACTGTGCTGTGAATGGGTTTGCGTGTTCAAACTTCATGGGCTTCTCGCTGGCGAGCAACCCCGCGATTCTGGGCCCCGTGTAGATTGATATGCGGGGGTTTGTCGGAATTCATTCAGAATTTGTAAAATTATGGCCGCCTGAGCGAAGGCAAGGTTGGGTACCAATCATAAGCCCAGATCGGAGTCCATTTTGAGCAGCAGATTGTTTGGCGATTGCTACGCGAGCCAGCTACATCCCCAAGGTCAACAAGGTCAGCCTTTTGTTGCCTTCGGTTTCTCATTCTTAAATCCCCAAATCACGTGCTCCGGGAACTTCTGCGGATCACGTCTCCATTTTCGCTGCAGTGCGATGCTAACGTTTGGCATTCGCATCGAGGAGTTCAAGGGATCTCTGGGCCTTTGGTCTGAGGTGGCCTTGTCTAGGTCCCCCAGCAGTGCCCTTTTGCCGTTTCTTTTTTGGGGGGAGGGTTCCCCTACTAAAATAGGCTACCGAAAAAAGTTGGTACCCTTATTCTAACCTCTCTGGAGGACCTAGTTGGAGGGTTCCAACGGGGCCAGGAGTGTAACAGGCTGTTTGGCACTGTGTCTTGGATGGCCGCTGAAGTTCATAGGCAGCCTGTTCTGAGTATGTCCGTGCTTGAGGTCATTCTTTTTAATGAAGTGCAGGATGCTTGGAGGCTATGGGATACCCAGAGCTTGCCTCTACCGGTCCTTGTCCTTGCTGCCCGAGGATACTGTGGAGCTGGAGTTCGACTCCACGGTCATTTGCATGAAGCCTACCTTCAACGCCCACGCCTCGGCGTTGGAACTTTGGGCGTGTGGGCAGCGCAGGAATTCAAGCGATGATTGTGGCTTTTGAGGATGGTGCCGCGCCCTTCAAAAGGAACAACCAGGAGTACGGATTAGTTTCCTGTAACTACACACGTCAGTAGTGCTGTTGTACAACTGGTGATGCCACATTGACCTGAATCAAAGTCGTTTAAGCTTTGAACGGAATTGCACTTCCTTTTTCGCGTCAGGCCCTTTGCCCCCTCCTGCGGGGTTCTTTCCCGCTCTGCAATGCCGGCCGGCTGTCCCGGGGCAGTCGGCAACAGGCGCTTGGCCCGCAAAGGAGTTCTGATGATTGCTTGATTTGGTTTTAGTTGAAACCACAAGCACCTCTACCCTTTACCGAGAAGCCGAAGGGAGGGTCGGTTGCTTTGCCAAACCTTCCTATGCCGAGGTCTTTATTACCATGAACCCCGGCTATGCCGATGCCTCAGCCAGTGTCCGTGCCAGGGAATGTCCTGCCAGGACCCGTATCCCTTGGCGTCAGCGGAAAACTTGACTGATTACGACGGAAAACAAGTTTCCCCAAACCCAAAACCGGTTTCTTTAAGCCTTCAGCTTGCGTCGCACGTTCGTGTGCGAGTGATTTTATGAGAGGGGACCGTTTGGGCAGGTGAACATGTCCGCAATGGGGTGGGGGAGGAGGCCAGGGTTGCATGAACCAGTACAACGAAGCAATTGGGCACTACATTCGTTGCCAGACTTAACTTTAGCCTTTAGTCCTTTTAGTTTTTGTTTCTTCATTTTTTCACTATTCCTTTCAACAAGGAAGCAGTTGTTTCCTTTTCGGGGGGTGTTTGGTCAAGCAGTTTCAAGGCTACAAACAATTTCAACTGGCTTGGGTTGGCGCCTGAATGTTGTATTAAACGCCGCGCATGCATCAAGCCTCGCAGAACGCTGATACCACCAGCAGGACTTTCCCCCAGGTGTTTTCAGGTTATGAAAGGCATGCCGTCCTATTCAAGAAGTTGATTTGCAGGGTTCACGCAACCGGGGTCGACAATACCCTCCTTACATGGAGCGCACCAGACAGTCCTTTGTTGCTGGCACCCAAACAACCCGGTGGCTAGTGTGGTGGCTACTGGGACGACACTCAGACCTCAAGCAAATGCTCTAAACCGCAACGAGCCGCCCCAGAGGCCATATGCTTGACGGGCTGACGAAATATATAGGCCAGAAATCCCCGGTCCAAGCTTGTGACCTTCTCGGGGGCTTTGCCTTTCAACCGCCCTGCTTTGAAAAAAAGGGGCACCTTTTGGAGATCGTTGGAGATGTGGGGTTCCCGTTGGTTTCCCACCCCAAAAAAGGAGTCTCGGTCTATGGGCCGTTGTTGGAACTATGTTTTTTTTTTTTGATGAATATATATCCACATATTATGTGTGTATATATATATATATATTTCGTAGGCTTTACAAAAGATGACACGAAATCCATTTTGACTAAAGTAATTATTATTATATGTCGTGACAGGAGTTACCCCCATGTTGGGCCCTTTGGCGTCACTCGCCGCATCACTCGCTGAGGCGGGGCGTAGCGAGCTGCCGGACAACCTGGCGGCGCTCTTCCGGCCCATGGCCGGGGGACCCGATCCGTTTGGTTGTTGTTTGTTTGTTTGCAACTGTGTTTTTTGTTTGTTTGTTTGGTTGGTTGTTTGGTTGTTTGCTTGTTTGTTTGTTTGTTTGTTTGTTTTGTTTGTTTGTTTGTTTGTTTTCTGTGTGCAGATGGACTGAATACAAAACCGGCTCTGAACACATGTTTTCCTTGGCCAAGTGTTGGTCTGTTGAAGTCGGCTTGGAAGGGACATGTTTGGCTTGAGCTCTTGGAACCGAAATTAGGAAAGCAGTGTGTCTCACCGCGAGCCATGCCTTGTGGATTTTCGGCGGGGGTTTTTGGGGTCCAACGGTCCAATTCGCACGCCTGGGGCGGCCTGGTTTCCTTGGGAGGCACAGAGCTCCAGATTCGCTGCCCGCCTCCCTGGAAAAGTGAAAGCTGGGGCCGTGAAGCCTTTTTTGCTTTATGCGAGCCAAGCTGCATTGACCAAATCACCCCTTTGTTCTGGACCTAGACCGCAGATTTTGTTGCCTGGGTCTTCCTACAACAGTTTTTTGTTTTCTTTCTTTTAACAAAGCCACGGCCACTGTGGGCATTGTTTTTTTCTTTGAGGCCATGATGGTGCCGGACTACGCCATGATCGGCCGCTTGGCTGCGACATGAGAAACTTCGGCCCGAGCTGCACCGGAGGAACATCACAGGAATTCTCGCAACCCCATCAAGTTCTCTTGGTGGCTCCCAGCCATCCGGTTCCTTAGCGTTTTAGCCTTTTAGTGTTTAGTGATAGTTTTTATTTGACCCACTAAAAGTTGTTCACTTTTAGCGGGGGATCAGAAAACGGGCAGCCCAGTTCTGACGTGGACGTGCGTTGCGCTCGAGGAACTGTGGACAACCACTCAGGTGTACTCAGGCCATTCAAAGACTGCTTTCGTTCGTCACAGGCTGAGCGTGTCAACCCATGTGACCCCTGGAAGCATAGGTGTGGTTCAACCCACTATGGCTCAAAGTTGGAAACCAGCCCCACTCGGGACCACACGGAAATTGGTGGGGGGGGGGGGTGGTTTTAGCTTGCACATCCCACCTTGGATATGTTGAGCAAACTATCGCTTCGTTTCACGCACCTGAGTTTTGGTCCACCGTCCATTTGGAGCTTCCGAATGGCTCTCGCACTTGGGACAAAAGGGTGTTGCTAATTTTGCCCTCCCCCCCCCCCCGAAACGCCCCAAAAAAAAGAAGTGCCAACACCGCGTTCCCTTTGGCTTTCCGAACCGCCCCCCGAAAGCAGGTGCCTTGTGGCACCACAGCCCCTTCCGAGTTCGGCCCGTGACGCACCGGTCGGGGAGTGAGGTGAGATCAGCTTCTACGCCTTCGGCTTTGAGAAGGGACGGCATTTGGCCAAGAAGATGGCGGGGGGGGGGGTGGGGATTTGGGCGGGGGAGGGGGAGGGGAGGGGGCGGGGGGGGGGGGGGTTTTGCGGGGGAGGGGGGAGGGGGATTGCGCAACATGGCTCCTATGCCCCCTTTCAGACACCAACCCGGCCTACGAGTGGACGTGTTGATTTACACAGTGAATGCAGGCAGCGAGATCCGATGGAGTCTACCGCTTGCACAAGCTGGTTGACCCTTGTGATTGGTACTTAAAGGGCTCCAAAAGGAAAACAGCCGCATTCCATGCCCGGGGTGCTTTTGCCCAGGCCAGGAGCAGCAGCGCCATTTCGGGGGTTGGAGTTTCCGCAGGTCACCACCTTCCAGCTGTGCAGTGAGCAGCTCAGCGCGCAGAGCCACTATGACTACGGCATGCGCGCCGCCAGGGGCCCAAGCGCAAGCAACGGGACGGCTAGGAAGACGAAGGGAAAGATGTCGGACGGGATGGCGACAATCCACAGCTTCTTTGTTTTTCTTTTTGTTTTGGGGGGGGGGGGGGGAAATGGGCGTGTGCTCTTTATGGAAGGACTTTCTGGATATCTAGGTGCGCATTCATGTACGACTTGGGAGGGAACCCTCATGAGCTTTCTCTCAAAATAGGAATCGGACCCCCCCACAAAAAAGAAACAGGAACAACAAAAAAAATGTTTTTTTTTCCTTTGGGTTCCAACCCCAAAAAGGGGTAGCCTCACCCGTTTTGGCCGCGCCCATGAGCGCCGAACGCGGCTCTGCGTAGGTGAAGACGGTCATCGAGGCGGCGGGTCTCAACAAGCGGAAGTACCCGGCCCGGCGGCCAAGTCGGCATCGGGCGAATCGGGCGGCGGCTGTCCGAGCCTTGACCGTGAAGCCCACCTTGGATCTGACACGTGGCTCAACATAGAGACACACACCCCTCCCCCCCAAACAAAATTCAGTGGTTTACCTGAGATTTCCCTTTGTCGCCACCTTTCAAACAGGGCACCCTCCAGAAAAGGCACTCCCATATTGATTCACCCCCCCCCCCACTTTCTGAGCCTGGGCTCCCTCACACTTGCGCCTTTCTGCTCGTCCGAAAAAATAACGGCCAGGTTTGCCTCCGAAGCGGCCACGTCCATTTGCTTAAGAATATGTTTAACTTCGCCCTGTTGGTAAAAAAGGGAAATCTATCACTACTGGAAATCGTTATTATATTGTGTGAATATTTCTTAATGTTGCCCTGTTGGTAAAAAAGGACATCTATCACCCTGTTGGTAAGAAAGGAAATCTGCCACGACTGGAAATCGTTATATTTTGTGAAGCCGGCTTAAGCAAATGGAAGATGATCATTGCCCCACTATCCTGCGGGGCAGTAGCCACCGTGCCAGCCTGGGCTTTCATATGGAGGTCTTGGCTTGATGCCTCCGCATTCAATGCCTCGGCCCCAAGGCGCCCGGTTGGAACAAGTCATGTCTTCTCAAGCATTCAATCCTAAGTGGTTCGTGCTGTTCCACGGGTTTTGGGGCTGCCTTTTTTTTAGGGAGGCCCTTCAAAATTGTGTTTTTTTTCTTCCCCAATTCAAATCGCAAAAAAGGGGGGGCACAAATGGCATTCTGCCCCAAATCACACAAAAAGGGAGGGGGTGGAGCCCAAAATCGCATTTTGCCCCAGATCACCAAAAAAAACCAAGCAGCACGACCCAAAAAACTTGACACCGCCTTGATGGGCTTCCAGGGCTCGGCCGAAACAACTCAGCGCACGGCTCCAGGACCAGAGCGAGGCCCAGATCCTGCTGCGCGCCTTGCAGGACGTCAACGCCGGGGGCCCGGATTGGGAGACAAAAGTCTCCACTCGCTACCTCGCGACCGCGTTCCCCAGCCATCTTCTCTCCAATCACTCTTCCACATCCTTCTTTCCTTTTAGCCTTTATATTTTTCTATGTTTTTTTTGTTTTGACTAACTTCTTCAGGAAGAACTCGGCAGACGAAGCTGAAGCCCACCAGAAATGCGCGCCCAGAAAAGGAGATGCCTCTAAAACCCGGTGGTTTTCGGGGGGGGGGTCCATGTTGATCTGCAGGAGTGCGCGCCCCAAAAAAGGAGAGTCCCTCTAAAACCCAATGGTTATTTGGGGTTCCATGTTCTGGAGTGTACCCAGGTAACCCTGAGTTGGAGCTTTGGATTGCGTCTGATCCGGGTAAATGGGAAGGACATCACTCCACGCCATGGGCTCCCTCCAGCTCACGCCAGCTGGCTTCGGCTCAGGTGCCCAAGTTCTTGAAGGACGACCTGCCGCTCTTCTCCAACATCATCTCGGATCTCTTCCCCGGCGTGGAGAAGCCCGGGGCCCCAAAAGCCCAAGTCCAGGCCAGGAGGCCTCCAGGCCAGGAGGCCTGTAGGCTCAACCACTGGACTTTTGTTTGTTTCTTTTTGTCGTTCTCGTTTTTTTTTTTTTTGGGGGGGGGGGGGGCGAAAAGGAAGCCAGCAGGCGCAGGGGTTGCTCAAATTGTCTAAACCTTTTTCTCCCCCGAAAAGGAAGCCAAGAAGGCGCTGGGTTTGCCCAAGTTGTCCAAGCCCTTTGTTCAACACCTGTTTGTGTTTTTGTTTCTGACCTGAATGTTAGCTGGCACCCTTTGCCTCTGACGTGGTCAACGGGTCAATGGCCTTTTCATTGCGAGGAGTTGAGCTTATATACAACGTGCACAGTGGGTGGCCGCTGCCTCCATATGCCCATACCTCCATGCCTCCCATTCACGGACCAGAAAGCCCTTTGACTTGACTTGGCTTTGGCCATGAGCAAGTGCGTAATCCCAAAGGGAGCAGGCAAAAAGCACGAGCAGTCTGGATGATTTCATGCACTTGAGGGTAGAGCCCAGGAGCAGTCCTGCTGTGTCTGCTTGGGTTTTGTAAAAGGTGCACGCGCTTCTCTTTGGTTTCGGCCATGATTAAAAGTAGTCACAGCGGTTGTCAAGGGCCCGCGCCAAAAAGGGCCCCCCAATCCGAACTAGGGGCGCAAAACTAGCGCAGAGTGATAACAAAGCCTATTGGGGTCCACTATGCTCCCGTGAGGGGTTACACCGGGCTCCTGCCAACCATGGGAACTTTGGTATCAAAACGACCCAAAATCCATTCAAGGCACCAGTTGGGATAGATGAAACCTGATGAAGACCAGCTGAGACACCCTCTGCCAACTGGTATCACAGCTGGCTTTGTTTTTGGGACGGGCAAAGTAGGGGCTACCTCGTTTTTTCCTCAAAACAAATCGGCAAACGAGCCAACGGTGGAAGTTTCCATACATCAGCCACACAGAAGCATCACAGATCCTGCAGTTGATGGATGAACCCCTATGAAGATAAGGGTCAAACAATCTACAAACCATCTACCAAGCACCGCTTGAAAGGCATTGAGAAGTGTTCAGGGCCCCCCAACACCCTCCCAAAAGACCAGGCTCCCAGCTCAGACAAACAAAACGCCTCAGCTTCTGTTCGAGGCCTGCCATCGACTACGGGAAGCTGGAGGAGATGTCCCGGGAGAAGTCCAGGGAGACTCTGCTGCCGAAGCCTCGGATTCAACCGAATCGACGGACCCAATTTGGATGACAATCCGTAGGTAAACAATGGTGGTTATATGAACCCCCATTGCTTCAATGGCTGTTTGAATTCCAGGGTGCGATAGGTAGGGAGTGTGGGAATGAACCGGTTTTGGGATGGTTTACACGGGTCATTTTATTTCTCATTCCCTGCCTATCGCAACAGCAAGTTTAGGCATGGCCCCAAAAGGTGATCAAACTTCTTGTTTTTCTGGGTCCCTAAGGGGCAACTGAGGGTAGCCTTGGTTAGGAAAGCCAACAGAGTTGAGTACCCTTGGGTTGGTCACGAGCCAACCAAAAGGAGCCTCTTCATTTTGTGGGTTCCCCTCTAGTTTGAGACAAGCCCAGACCGAACAACCTCGGACCCGTGAAGACGGGTTCTACTAAACGAGTTCCGCCCTGCAAGCACGGGACTGCTTGAAAGGAAGCGTTTGGTGAGAATAGGTTCATCCACAAACCGCTGGGCGGAACTGATGCCTTGCGGCGCGTAATTTCAGTGGTTGAGAACAGTTTCGGCCAACCATGGCAGCATTTTGAAGAGAGACCAAAAGGACACAAGGCGATGTGATCAAGCATCCTTGCCTGGATTTGCGAGATGGAAGGAGGGAGTGGGATGATGACAAAACATGCTGAAGTGACTTTGCATTTTGGCTGGGCTGGGTTGTTCTGGGCGCTTTTGTTTTCTCCCTGCTCATTTGACTGAATGAACACGTGATGTGACATGTAGGGGCACAGGCATGGGACAAGTCTTGACACGGTCATGCAACATACTGTAGCACGCCTGGAACCATTGCCAGAGATTGCGTTTTACCTTGTCACTAAATGGGTGCACAAAGAACAATGAGTCATTAAACGACTTTGTGAAATGCACCCCAGTTAACTTTGTCTTTTCGGTTTCAACCGACACGTTTGTACCCCTTACCTGCATTGGGGGTTTGGATTGGTGGTTTTGTGTTTGCACCCCAGTTCCTCTTGAACATGTGGAAGGTACTTGGCCAACTTCAGACTGCTGACAAGTCCACTCAGGAAGTCTTCATGTGACTCAGGCAACCAACGGAATACTTCATCAAGAAGCAGTTTGAGCTCTTCGACATGATCCAGGCCCCGTTTCTACCGCGCAAGCTGGCGGTTGTGACTCTTTGAGTGGCTTTGTCTCTTAGGGGCAGCCTCTCAGACAGCGGCTTCCCTTTCGCTTCCCTTCAAACCCCCCAATTAGAAGGGTGCCCTTCGTTTCAAGCACGACGCCCAAATCACATAGCCGAAGAAAAGGTGGTTCGACAGGTGGCAGCTTTTGGTCGCCAAACAAAAGCCAGCCTTAGTTCTAGCCGGGGGAAGTCAGGCAAGCTGAAGTCGAATTCGTGGCACATGGCGCCCTGGTTTGACTCTGACTCATGTCCCAGCGGGCTTAAGATTTCCAGCGGCCTTGGCACTTTTGGCACTTTTGAATGGGTGGGAGAATCCGTTGTGGCCGGAATGGCTCTTGCAGCATAAGCCAGCTACAGGATTGTTTGCAGGAAATTGGCCCAGCACATCCAAGCACGCACCAAAAACAAGGATGTCGTGTATATATAGTCCTGTATTTTCCTGCAGCTGGTTTCTTAGAAGCATTCTTTTTTTCGGCAGGTCACAGGACATGTGCCCAACCTTGGTATTTTGGTGGTTATGTGTCTTACCTCATGGGAACATCGGGCTTGGCTTGTGGGTATTGGGGAATTACATGTCCGCCCCTCCCATAAAGTAGACCCCTCCAGGTCTCGTCGTTTTTGTTTTCCGCGGCTCTCACGCCATTTCCGGGATCCGATTCGCAGATGGCAGGTGCGGCACGGCATGATGCTGGTGGGGCCCACGGGCGGCGGCAAGACCTGCTGCTACCGGACCTTGCAGGCGCTCGCAGTCGATCGAGTCATCCCTCAGGGGGGGGTGCCTTTGGGCCTTTGGGCCTTTGGCTTCTTTGGTTTGGATGGTCTGATGGTTTGCATCCCGAATCTGGACACAAACCTATTTCGTGTTTTTTTTTCAATAGAGTTTTTTTTTTTTTTTTTTTTTTTCTATTGTTGTTCGGTGTTGCGGCACAAGCGTCAGATGGGACGATTGGGGTTGAGCTGATTCTCGGCCTGGTGTTTGAAGTAGTAAAAGGAACCCTCGCACTGGTGCAAAGGGCCAAACGTCATGCATGACAGGCAGTATCCAAGCCTCAAAGCTAGCTTTTGGTACTGAAACATATTTTTATCGTGGTGATTAGCTACTCGACCAGGACATGCCAGTGTTGGGAGTTTGGAATCCAGACAAGATTCAAGAAGTCAAAACTCAAAATATATGTGTTTCCTTTGAAGCCTGACAGCTGTTCAATGACCATTCCTGCAACAAACTCTTTTCGAGCTGAAACTATCAGAGGGAAACATGTGATCGCTCATGATAAATGGTTTTCTTAGGCGGGTTCCTCTTTTTTTCAGTAGTTTAGTTGTGCAATGTTCAAAGGTTAGAGCTGCACAAGGATAACTGTAGGGGTCAACGACCCCGCTCACTTTGAGGACTCATCCGTCCTTCGCGGCAGCATAACTTTCGGGTGAATTCACCCGTAGGTGTTATCCTTTCAGCCAAACATGTGCCTGAAGGCAGCGACTTCTCTAGGGGTTGATTCCTTTTCCATTCTTTTCAACCATCGTTCTTTTCTCAAAAGCCGGATCTGTTTCCCCTGGGTTTTCGGTTTGGTTCCCTGAAAAGATTGGGATCCTGGGTTCAGAATGGAAAAAAAGTACCCGAAGAACTTCGGCCAGTTCTTTAGCGGCTTTTTGCAGCTGTTGTTTTTTGGTTTTTCTCGTTAGAAACGCGCATATGTTTGAGCCGCTGCACAATCTCTTTTTGAGCATCCATATTCCACACTCTGACACACACGCAGTTTGACATGAAACCCATCCAACCCTGGGTTTGGGGGCTGTTTGGGTAATTAAGGTTTGGGGCTTTTTCTTCTTCTTTTTTTTGGGGGGGAGGAGTAGTTATGAGCACAAAAAGCATGACTTCATTGGCCATCGCCACATCTGGAAGCCGATGGCCAAACATCGGCCAGGCGGCGTGCACAGCCCTGGTGGAAGCCAAGGACCCAGAAAGCGTGGACGTGTCAAGGGCGGAGCTGTGTGTTTGAGCTTCAGGTTCACAAGCGAGGACTGGTGGCGTTCCACTTCTTGCTGGTTCAATACTCCTGGGTTGGGTCATGGCAGGTGAGCTCGTACACTCAGGCTAATGGCCAGAAGCTCCCCCAGGTTGCCTCTCCAAATGGAACCAAGTCTTCCAAGTGGTCCAGACCGAGAAAAGCCGGTGGCATACAGGAAAGCCGCTCATGGACAGGATCCCCTTAAACTAGGTACTAGTGTTTCAAAAGGATGTGTGTTTGGGATGGTGTGTTGAGGGCTTCTCTATATGATCATGACATGTGGTTTACTGTTTTAATTTAGGGGACGTCCCATTTGTTTAGGCCCTTGTAGTAGACCGTGCTTGCGGAAATCGGATTTGGGGAGCTGCTTTGAGAGACGGGATCCCAGGGTTTGTGATGTTCCGTAGTCATTTGGATGGGACTCCCTTGGATCGCGACTAGTTTGTTGCCGTGTTGGAAATCCTTTCTTAGTTGGTCATGGGCACCAGGGAGCCACATGGAGCGGAAAAGGAGACGCGCAGCAAGATGTGGGGCAAATGCATTGCAGCAACGAGCCGCGGAAGCAGATGAACTGTCCAGCTATCAAATCACAATGTCCGGAGACATCATTGCAAATTTCTGACAAGTGGGTGGACATACATATCAACTTGTTGTTTTCTTTTTTTGTTTCAAGAAGTCCCCTTGTTTTAGAGTCATATCCGGATCCGGAAAGTGGAGTTTCAACTTGCGCTCGCGTAGGATCCGGAGTCGCCCTTCCAGCGCACCCACGTGCACGTGCTGAACCCCAAGGTGGGAAGAGGTTGCCATTTCTTTCATACCACATCCCCCAAGTCGCAAAGTAGTCATCAAAGGAAGTTTAACAAGAAACTTCCGTAGTACTGGAACTAAATGAGCTAGCTGCTTTGACATATAGCTATGACAGGTAGCTAGCATGACAAATAGATAGCTTTGACATATAGCTAGCTTGACAGATAGATAGCTTTGACATATAGCTAGCTTGACAGATAGATAGCTTTCCAATAGGCTTGCATGACAAATAGATAGCTTTGACATATAGCTAGCTTGACAGATAGATAGCTTTCCAATAGGCTTGCATGACAGATAGATAGCTTTGACATATAGCTAGCTTGACAGATAGATAGCTTTCCAATAGGCTTGCATGACAGATAGATAGCTTTGACATATAGCCAGCTTAACACGTAGATAGCTTTCTCAAGTATAGATTTCGTGGCAGGCGCAGCACTTTCGCAAGCACTCTCTGCGAGCTGGGGGATGGCAAGATGCAGAAAACGTTGGCGCTGTGCGTGAATTGGGCTTCCGGACTGTGCGCAAACCACCTCGGCTGCGACGCCTGTACGGAGGCGGTCTCGGAACGGTCTCGGAACGGGTTCGGAACGGGTTCGGAACGGTCTCGGAGACGGGCCCATTGGCACGGCCGCGCGAAGGTTTCGCAAGGTTTGAATTGCGTGGCAGGCGCAGCACTTTCGCAAGGTCAAGTATAGATTTCGTGGCAGGCGCAGCACTTTCGCAAGGTCAAGTATCGATTTCGTGGCAGGCGCAGCACTTTCGCAAGGTCAAGTACAAAATTTGTGGCAGGCGCAGCACTTTCGCAAGGTCAAGGCAAAATTCGTGGCACGCGCAGCACTTTCGCAAGGTCAAGTACAGATTTTGCGGCAGGCGCAGCACTTTAGCAAGGTCAAGCACACATTTGGTGGCAGGCGCAGCATTTTTGCAAGGTCAACTTTCGCAGCCGGGGCTCGAAAATCGCAACTTTTAAGTACGAAAGTAGTACGCGAAGTCAACTTTCGCAGCTGGGGCTTGAAAATCGCAACTTTTAAGTACGAAAGTAGTGCGCAAAGTCCACTTTCGCAGCCGGGGCTTGAAAATCGTAACTTTTAAGTACGAAAGTAGTACGCGAAGTCAACTTTCGGGGATTGAACATCGCAACTTTTAAGTGCAGAGAAAGATGGACTGATAGATAGATCAATAAACACATATAGAGATAGCTAGAGAAATAGATTGCGTGGCAGGCGCAGCACTTTCGCAAGGTCAAGTATAGATTTCGTGGCAGGCGCAGCACTTTCGCAAGGTCAAGTATCGATTTCGTGGCAGGCGCAGCACTTTCGCAAGGTCAAGTGCCAAATTCGTGGCAGGCGCAGCACTTTCGCAAGGTCAAGTACAAAATTCGTGGCAGGCGCATCACTTTCGCAAGGTCAAGTACAGAATTTGTGGCAGGTGCAGCACTTTCGCAAGGTCAAGTGCAAAATTCATGGCACGCGCAGCACTTTCGCAAGGTCAAGTACAGATTTTGTGGCAGGCGCAGCACTTTAGCAAGGTCAAGCACAGATTTGGTGGCAGGCGCAGCATTTTTGCAAGGTCAACTTTCGCAGCCGGGGCTCGAAAATCGCAACTTTTAAGTACGAAAGTAGTACGCGAAGTCAACTTTCGCAGCTGGGGCTTGAAAATCGCAACTTTTAAGTACGAAAGTAGTGCGCAAAGTCCACTTTCGCAGCCGGGGCTTGAAAATCGCAACTTTTAAGTACGAAAGTAGTGCGCAAAGTCCACTTTCGCAGCCGGGGCTTGAAAATCGCAACTTTTAAGTACGAAAGTAGTACGCAAAGTCCACTTTCGCAGCTGGGGCTCGAAAATCGCGACTTTTTAGTACGAAAGTAGTACGCGAAGTCCACTTTCGTAGCTGGGGCTCGAAAATCGCAACTTTTAACTACGAAAGTAGTACGTGAAGTCCAGTTTCGCAGCTGGGGCTCGAAAATCGCAACTTTTAAGTACGAAAGTAGTACGCGAAGTCAACTTTCGGGGATTGAACATCGCAACTTTTAAGTGCAGAGAAAGATGGGTAGATAGATAGATCAATAAACAGATATAGAGATAGCTAGAGAGATAGATAGAAAGAGAGAGAAAGAGACAGAGAAACAGAAAGAGAAAGAGAAAGAGAAAGAAAAGAGAGAAAGAGAGAAAGAGAGAAAAAGACAGAGAGAGAGAGAGCAAGGGGCCAAGGACAGTTCTCCAAACTATAGTTGTTCACTGCTTTGAAACTTCCGCCCCCCGGCTCTGCCGGACCTTACTTGTACTGTGGATGGGCATCATCCTGCACCAGCTGGAAGCTGGCTTTCTCCAATATACAAATTGGCTTTCACCCATCCCAACTGGTGCTTGAATTTTGCCTATCCGGGATGGGAATCAGCGAATCAACCACTTTTGTATCAAAATGGTAAGGAACAGGCCAGTGGCACGCAAGCCTCCTTGACATGACAACTCAACTACCCCTTTGGTGGTTTTGACTGCTTTGGATTTGGAGTTGAGCTTTCGGTCGTGCAAGTAAAAGGTTTCACCATTAGTCCATTGGAGGGAAGCTGAACACCAACAGTCCTTGAGGGACTTTCGGGCTTCCAGATGCAAGCGGATTGCGCTAGAGCTGGAGAATGTTTTTTTTTTCCGCCCATCCACTTGCCTTTCAGCAAAAACCATGTATGAGCATCACCTTTTGCCCCGTTTGAGGTGAGTTTCCTCCTTGTGTGACTTTGGGAGGGAAAGGAGGGCCATTTTTTTAGGAATTGTTTTCGGTTTTTTTTAGGAATTATTTTTGTTTTTCAGGGTCGGTGGCTTTTCGGCTTTTGTGGCTTTTACGTGGGTTTTTGTGGCTTTTTTCGCATCATCTGCATTCACAGTTCCTCTCTTTTCGCATCCTCTGCATTGCCAGTTCCGCTGCGGCAGGTGGCTTTTTGGCTTTTTGGCTTTTTGGCTTTTTTGTTTTTGGCTTTTTGGCTTTTTGGCTTTTGGCGGCTTTCTGGCTTTGGCTTTTCGCATCCTGATGCTTTCCCAGTTGGTTTTTGGCCTTGGCTTCCTGCATCCTCAGCATCGCAAGTTCCTCTCTGGGCCCCCCGCCACCCCCCTTTCGATTAAAATGCACGCCTAATTGAATCATCACTTTTTCGATCCCCCCTGCTGCTTTTTTTTTTAATAAGTATTTTTTTGGCCCTAATTGAATCATCACGTTTTCAATCATCATGGGGGGGGGCTGCCTTCCCCCCCCAACCCCCCCGCGATTTTTTGGACTTGATCATCATGCGACCGCTACTTTTTAGATTCTTTGCCCTTAATTTTCGATCATCATGGGGGGGCTGCCGCCCCCCCCAACCCCCCCGCTATTTTTTAGACTTTTTGCCCCTGATTGAATCATCACTTTTTCGATCTACAGGGATTAGTTTGCCCGTATTTGAATCCTCACTTGTACCATGAGGCCTTGCCGCAGAGGAACTGATGACCCCCCCGCTGCTTTTTTAATATTTTTTTGGCCCTAACTACGTTTTAGGTGTTTTACAGGGATTAGTTTGCCCGTATTTGAATCCTCACTTGTGCCATGAGGCCTTGCCGCAGAGGAACTGACCCCCCCCCCACTGTTTTTTTTTAAATATAAATATGTATTTGTTTTGGCGCTTTTTGAATCATCACTTCTTCAATCATCATGCGGGGGGCTGCCGCCACGTTTTAGGTGTAAATTGAATCCTCACTTTTACCGTGGGATGCGGGAAGCCAATTTGCTGGTGATGCTGGGGATGTTGGCTGGACATGCGGGGGATGTTGAAAACGATGCTGATGATGTTGACGGACTAGCGTAAAATACGTACATTTCGCGAGAAAATGCTGTAAATTACAGCATTTTAGTAGCCAGGACGGAAAACAAAAAAAAATCCCAAAATAAAACAAAAAAAATCCCAAATTAAATCTCGACCCGGAGGGAAATCATAGGAAATGTAGCGCGGCTGCTTCACAGACTCACTTCCTGAGTTCCTGGACTTTATACGTTTTGGGGGAAGACCATGTTAGCGGCAAACCAACAAGTCTGGGGCATCCTTTGGCCAATGCACTCAGGAACCGAGAACATACAACTTGGGCAGTTCAATCAGCACATGTTCACCAGGCCCAAGTAAAAAGCCAGCTTCTTAAACAAAGACAACACCTGGTGGGGGGAAGGATGCCGCTCAGATGGTTTTTTTGTACATTTTGGACATGGCCTTCTGTAGCAAACAAACACATCTTGGCAAACGCATGAAGGGCAGAATGTCATGGAGGTTTTCCACGGACCCAAGTATCCCCCAAACACACCTCAATATCACAATGCAAACAACAAGCAAAGGGACCTCTCCGCGGATATACTCCATGAGCTTCAAAATCCCCCCCCCCGAAAGAAAGCAAAGAAAATCAAACGGACATCCGTGGATGCACTCCATGAGCTGTGGCCGGCGGGCCAGGCCATCACCCAGAACCAGCTCTACGGCGCCTTCGACGAGGTGACGCGGGAGTGGTCCGACGGCGTGGCCGCGGAGCTGATCCGCAACGCCACCCGGGACAACCACAACCCGGCGCCTTGGAGTGCGGATGGGGGGCGGGGGGGGGGAGTTTCTTCGCGCGGTTGGCGTTTCGCCGCGCCGCTGTTGGGATTTTAAAGGCGGAGAGAAAACCAACTCCTGCCACCAAGTTCGGAACCCATGCAGGTAAGGGAAGGTTTAAACACGATGCCATTTGGTGCGGATATGAGTTTCATTGAATTCTTTGCATGGTGGAATGCCAGGTTTTGATTAGTCAGATGTTGAATACCGAGCTTTGGGGCTTTTGGTGTTCCCTTTTCGGCAACCACTTTGAGTAAAGGTCCCAAAAAAAAATCGACTTTTATTACCAGGTCCGTTGGGCAACTGAGGAAACTGATTTTTGAGGGAAGGTTTTCCAGGGTACCAGTTTGTTTTGGTTGGTCCAAATGGAAGACCGGCCGGGAACAACGTCTTTTTGTTCGGTTTCAAGCAGGAAGGAAAAACACAAAACGTCGCTCCCAAGCCAAAATGGAAGCTGAAAGAAGGGCTCGTGAAACAGGGCCACGCCATGATCACCCGAGTCGGATTCAAAGCCTCTTGAACAAGGTGTGTGTGTGTGTGTGTGTGTGTGTCTGTGACTAGGTCCCCCAGTAGTGCCCTTTTGCCCTTTATTGGGGGAGGGTTCCCCTGCTAAAATAGACTACAGAAAAAACGGGGTACCCTTATTCGAACCGCTCTACTGCATGACCTCGGTGAGCGTGAGGGTGATAGTGTGAGTGTGAGTTTTTCTAGGGCACATGCTTTGCGTGACCTGGTGTGCAGACTGCAGCTGGAAGTCGTGTTGTTCTCTTGAAACCTTATTCCGTTTGTTGGTGGCTGAGATTGATGCGCTGATTAATGGGCCTCGTGCATCCCTGTAATTCAAGTTGCGCAGCGGTGCCAACATGAAGCAGGCCAAACGCAGATACAACACGAAGTCTTGAAGTAGCCTGCGAGCATTTATTGATTATTCACCCTTCTCCCGGACGACGTCCCATTCACCACTGAGCGACATCTACAAATCATAGCGCCAAAGTTTGACAACGTGTTTTGCATAAGTCATGCTACTAAGTTACTATCTGTTTTCCAGGAAGCGCATGAATACATGGATTCCGACACGGGGGCAATGCCTGAGGACCACCACTGGGTCATGTTCGACGGCCCAGTGGACGCGCTTTGGATTGAAAGCCCGGGGCCCCAGGTTTTCGTCCCGGAGGCATTGGATCGGCATTGGTGGCCCCCAGCCATCCGGTTCCTTAGCTTTTTAGGCTTTTAGGGTTTAGTGGTAGTTTCCGAATTTAACCCACTAACAGTTAAACTTTTAGCATCGGATCTAAGGGCAGCCCAGTGGTTCTGGCCTTGAGAAGAACTCCAGAAACAGACAGGAAGCGGTCATGTTGACAAGCACTTGGACCTTTACCACTGGAGAAAGGTGACCGTAGAAGCGGTTGTTGGCACAGGAGCCGATTGAACATGAACCGAGTCCGTATTCTCAGTGCTGACATGGTGGCTCTGAAAATATATTGTGTGGTTTATGGTGGGGGGTGCCTTCTGCTTAAGCAATGTTAAGCTCCCCAAGACAACCGTGCCCCTATGCCTCTTGTAGCGATGGAGCAGCCTAAGGGTGGCGCGAACTCATGATGGCCCAGACTCCTTGGCAGGGTTGCAATAGGTTTCCCAAAATGCCTTGAAATATCGTTGTGCACGTGTTGTTCCATTTTCTGTAGTCACGAGGCGTATGTCATGTATGTCTACCGTGCCTCTCAATCTACGACGCGGAGAGGGTTTCCTCCATTTCCTTTGTTGGGACCTCCCAAAGTGGCAATTTCGATGGACACCACACGAAAATCCGCAAACTGCAACCTTTGAAGGGGACAGCAGATTCGGGCATGGGTCAAAATTAACCCCCCAAAAAGACCGCAGATTTCAGTCCATGTTTCCATTTACCAGGAGCCATTTTGGGGTTGCGTATGTTTTGACCCACAGCCAGATTCCAGCGATCCCGTTTAGACCATAGGCATGGTGGTTGTTGGGAACCATGTTGCATTTTTGCTTGTGGCTTAGTGGTTGAAATCCAAATCCACTGAACTGCCCAAAAATGAAATTTCTTTGCTCCCCTTCCAAGAGAGAGAGAGAGAGAGAGAGACGGGGACGTTAGATTTTAGGGATCCCCGGCCACAGGCATGAACACGGTGCTGGACGACAACAAGAAGCTCTGCCTGGTGAGCGGCGAGATCATTGCGCCTCGGCTCCGAGGTTTCGTCTTGACTGGCAGGGAATGATTGGCATATGGCCACGGGCTTTTAAAAACCCAAATCGGTTAGCCCCAGTGAACATCCCACTGCCCACTAAAATAGGTTCTAACATGGGTGATGAATTCACCTACCGGCAATGGTACCATTGGTTTTGACCCACAGCCATATGGGTGTGTCTTGTTTTGGGCTGGATCCCCAAAATGGCAAAAACGGGTTTTCCCTTCTTAGATTGCTTTCAAAAACGGAAAGCATGGGTGTGTCTTGAAAATTTGGCTGGACCCCCAAAATGGCAGAACGGGTTTTTCCCTCCTGGTTTGCTTTCAAAGACAGAAACAAGAATTACCCTCAAAAAAGACACGCTGCGCATGTTCAGGAACCATCCAAAATGGATTGTGCGTGTGTCCTTTCTCATAGTCTCAATCAAATGTTACCTTGCCTTCCCCTTTTCAAAAGGTAGGTTCCAAGCCCAAGCCACGAATCCCTCCCTCCCACAATCTTGGAAGCTGACAGGAGGCTGTCAGAAGATGATTGTTTCTCTTGGGGAGCCCCCCTAAAACCCACTTCCATGATTCAAGGGAGAGTAAGTAATCCAAGCTAGGAGCCAAGGGTAACCCAGCAAATCCCCGCCCCCTTAAAAATGGAATTGGGGGAGGAGGGTGAACCCTGGAATTCCATGTCTAGTTCCATGTTCCCTTTCACGGGGAAGACTCGAAGGATGGAATCGGGAGACCCCCTACTCCCCCCTAGGGCGGATCCCAGCGGATTGGCCAGGCGCTCACCTCCAAGATGCGAATGCAGTTCGAGGTGGAGGACTTGGAAGTGGCATCGCCCCTCGCTTCGAATTGGGGACGGAGGCTGAGTCGCTGGGGGGTCCTGGCTGGATCCCTCCTACCAAGGTACAACCACGCTGTTTTTGCTTTTGCCTGCGGAGCTCCCTTTCTTGGCGTTGAGTACTCCCTTTCATCAAGAGTGGTCCCGAACCCGTAGAAAAACAGAATGGAAAGTCATGAGTCCACCCCCCTTCAGCAGTTCAAGGCGTACGGGAGCACAAGTATCTAGTGTGTTCGCTTAAGGCAATGTGCGGCACACCGGCTTTCTTCTGGAGCAAAGTGCCGACCAAATACGCGTCGGTTACAGTCGGCTGAAACGTTAAGCGATGAACGCATCGAATAGGTGATTCCCTCATTGCCTGGAACCCGCAAGCCTCGACTTTGACCGCAGAACATATCCAACATCTCGCGAAGGCCATGGTCGGCGCGAAATGTCGGGAAGTCGAAGGTGGCGATTTCACCGTCGACAGATGGGTTTCGCTCTGCAAATTAGGGGTCCCTGAAAGTGAGTTGGACCCCTCTGAAATTAGGCACTATTTATCAACTGGGATCCCTACATTCCTCTTTCAAAGTGGTTGCAAACATCTTTGGAAGGGCTCATTGAAGGTGAGTCTCGGGTGCATTTTTTTGGGGGGGATGCGTTAATATGTTCTCCGGGTGTTTACCGGGCCTTTCTGCTGAATTTCAAGAAGAACAACCCTCTGTTTTTTTTGTTTTGTCCGGGTGTTTCCGGGCCTTCCTGGGTGTGATCCCCCCTTTTTTTTAAGGCGAAGTGGAACCTTGAGCCACGAAGTCTGAGGCCTGCCACCGTATCTCGGTGCGGCATGATCTACATGGAGCCAGAGAGCCCGGGGGCCCCAGGACTCAGGGGCTTAGAGGGCCCCGTTGGATGGGACCAAACCTATGCGTTTTTTTTTGAGGCGAAGGATGCCCTTCTGTCAGGCATCCCAGGCATCCCTGTGGCGGTTTGGGTTGGGGGTTTAGGGATTTGAACGGGTCCCTGATTCTTGTGGAGGGTAAATGGGATACCGTCCCTATCCTCCAAACCACCGCTTAGAGGGAAGCTGAAAATTGTGGTGGTAGCTTTAGAGGGAAGCCTAACCAAAGGAAACCGTGTCATTTGGAGAAACGGCCCCCCGTAGTTTGACACATGGGTGTGGCTCAAATGAATGTACCATTAGCACCTTGGCAAATGGAAACAAAGACTAAAACCTGCGTAACCCTGGGTCTTTCATTTTGAGCCACACCCACATACCGATAGTCATCGGATAGTCGCACTTGGGATGGATGAACCCCTACGACTACTGGTGCCACAGTGTTGCATGGCACGATTTTATCCATGCAGGATGTATCAATGGACAGGGGCTCTGGAAACCTTGAAATTTACTAATTATTATCCGCGTGTAGCACTGCTGGCAGCTCAAAGGCAGAATGGGTCGAATCGATCCGGAGGCTTCCCGATTCCCGCCGCAAGCGGGCCTTCAAGGTTTAGCCAACCTGCAATCCGAAAGACCTGTGGCATGGGCAAACTGTGGGCGGGTTTCTTCAATGAGGGCATTGTTGACCCTATTGGGGGGGGGGGGGAAAACCTGTTTGTCCATAGGGGATGCTCCCCTCAAAAAGTGGTCTGATTCCAACCACTGAACCCATGTTGACACCCCCTATCAATAAACAGGGGTTGATTGATACGAACATTATGCTTCAGAATTGGTAATTTGTGCATGTTCCGTTTGGGTGTGCCCTCCTTTTAGCATACCCTTAGGGTGGCTTTAAAGGGAAGAAACAACGACTAGCAGAGTAGCCACCCACTTTGGGTCTAAATGTTGAGACAAATCCGCAGAGAACTAACCTCGTATCGGCTTTCATTTGCGTTCTTGAGTCGAACCCGGTTTCTAAACGAGAACCACAACTTTCAGACAAATCTACCTGACAGAGAACTATCCATTCACGTCCCCCCTGTTCTTTAAACGGGAACTGTGTAAATGGGAAACCGCCAGCCTCCAAACCACCAATCCAAGCCAGCGGGCCTAGACGGAAGCTAAAAACTTAGAATCTAAGTTCGGGTAACGCAAATGGGTTTGGAGACCCAAATGAGGGAACCTGGTTTCCTGGCTTCGGCTTTTGGTTCCCTAAAAATCCCAAAAAGGATACCCTCAACAAAAAGACAAACCTTAAATGTTAAGTATCTACCACCTCTGGAGATATTTTTCCAGGCGGCTTAAGCAAATGGAAGAACGGAAGCCAATTGCCCAGGGGTAAAATCCATCTGCAGGTCTGGGCTTTCAGCCCTTCTACGACTCCTGGCTGGCGTCCTTACCGGAGACCTTCGCCTTCAAGCCCGTGCTGGCCGCTCGCCGGCCATTCCCCCGAATCGCACTCGGTGCCCCCAAAAGCGGCGCTTTGGCGTCCGGACGGTCCATGGTCTGGAGTCTGGCACGGCTTAACGGCTTAGCGGCACTTAACATGGCTCAAGTACAGGCCAATATCTACACAACCACTTGCCACAGAGGAGTCCATTTGGGTTTTGGAGTCTGATTTCAAAAACTCACACATATGGTGCATGGAAGGGCAACACATCTCCAAAATTGGATTCTCAAGGGGAGAAAGACTGGGTCCCCCCGAAGCAATGGTCTTCCCTTTGGGTTCTTTCCTTTGCCGCGCCAAACAACTGGAACAACATCGAATCAGAATGGCTCGGAACATGGGCAAGTTCTAACCTGTTGGACGCCACTTTTGGAGATGGCCGCTAACGAAAACAAGATTCGCATGGGAGGCAACTTCTAGTGGCGTCCCGAAAGGAAGGAGCCTGGAAAGGGCCAAGGACGATGCACCCTCTGCTCAATTGCCAGCGCTTGGTTGTTTCTGCATTCACCTTTACTGGGTGTCGTTTTTTGAGGGTGCCCCCTTTGTTGCTGTTTTAACAGGAAGCCAAAAGCAAAACCCGCCCTTTTGGGGGGGGGGTCCCCTGAAAAAGACACTATGTGATTGACGACCCGGAATCTACAACATTGGGCCCCGGATCCTGACAAGTTTGAGCCTGAGGGTATTGCCAATATATGGGACAGAAGGGGTCATTGCCACCAAAAACACGCAAAACAAAGCCGAACATGTGATGTTGTGGGCCGACTGTCTCTGGTCCCCCACACACTTCTCCTGGACCTTCCTGGCCCTTCAATCCCTGTGATTTTCTTTGACGGCTGCTACTCATAGACTACGGATCAGCAGCTATGACCCTTCCATCATACGAAACCCTCAACATCAGCAAGCAGGCCCCCCACCCCCAAAAAAGGCAAACAGCACCCCCAAATCAGACTGACACAAAGAAACAGGCCCCAGCGCGAGGCGGAAACCTTGCGCCGTCTTCTGGAAGAGGTGGTCGCGCCCTGCATCGCCTACGTGACTCGCCGCCAGGGGAGGTGTTCCTTTATACTTACTGCTCAGTTGGTGTTTCGGTCTTGGATTTGGGCAAAGGGACAACCAGCATTTTGATAAATCTTGGGAATTCCATTAAGCAAAAGCACACCCATTTGAACCCTTGGTTCTTCTTCTGGCAAATGTGGAACCACCCACGGAACAACTCCGAGCCAATAGCCACCAATCAGAGGTAGGTTGGTAAGCAGCTAGTCTTCCGGGACCCCTCATTCAGGTTGCGTATGGACACGGTATGTCCCCTCGGTTTTCTCTCACTGTGATGTCTCAAAAACACGGCACCTGTTCTTTGGAGTTTGTTTTTTCAAAGGGAAACCAAGAGGAAGCTAACAACTTGGCGAGGTCTCATTTATTTTTGGCCGCAACCACGTGTCCCCTTTTAGATTGAAGCATCACTTCTCTAGAAGCCATGGTTATGAACAACAACCCTTTTGGTTTGAGACATCCCTGTTCCACCCTTCAAGGGCGCTTTGGGAAAGCAGTATTTCTCTGATTGTTTTTCACGACTTCTTTGCAAGGCCAATGCAGGGTCTTTGTGGCCTGTTCTTTCAAATTATCAGTCCCGTTTGGGATCAAAACGCTGAAAGGGACCAGGCCATAGGGTTTACAGATGACAATAAGGTGCAACCAAGGCCTTAGGCTAGAACCAAGCTGCCATCCTGACTCGTACAACTTGGTGACAAACACCAACCGCTGCTTTCACAAATGCGTTGTTTGACCAGATTTGTCCTAGGCACTGCGCAAATCAAAGTCATCAACGTTAGGTCCAAAGGAATGTATTTGCAACTCCTGGCAGTGCAAGGTGCAACCATTTGTTGTGAATGGCTCAGACTTCGGAATCGCAGACCCGATCGAAGCACCCAAGAGGGGCGTCTTGCGTGCCAAGGTGAACAAGAAGACCATTCGATGCGCCGGGCGCTCGAGGGAGTTTGCGAGTGGCTTTGGTCTTTGCTGGGCCAGCGATTGGTACCGTCGGAATTACACCTTTGCCCGTGCTGGCAACAAGTCACATCCTGGGTTCAGGCTTGATCAATGCGCAAGTCTAGATGTCGATTTTGCAAGTGGGGTATCCGCTTCATAAAAGCAGTTGAGCAACCAACCAACACAGAATCCGATTGAGGGGGTTGAGCTGCCGCATCCATGGATGGCAGGGAGAGCCAGCTTGCTGTCGCTCGAAAGGTAACAACCACGGACAACAACACCATCCAGGCAAGGGGCTGGGCATCTTCGCTCCGCATGCCCTCATGGATTGCTTCCTTTTGTTTGTGCCGATCGGCGGGTTGTTGGCAAGCGTCGCTTTACCTATCGCCCCACCTACACTTGCACTCCTGCAGTGTAGCGGTGAGGCCCGTTTTTTTCTCGTGTAGTTATGTCACGTCTCCCAAGAATAGTCAAGATGGACCTCTGAAGTTGACACATTGTTGCTAGCTGGGTCGTAAGATCAAGCAAGCCAAGGAGAAGCCAAAGGAAGGAAACCTTTGTTTGGGTCCCCAAGTTTCGACACATGGCAAAGTGGGCGTGTCTTAAGTGGGGACCCCTCGAAATGATGGTTTTAACACCCATCAAAAAAGGGGGGGTACCCTGCAACTAAAGACACCCAGGTCTGAAGGACCCACACGAAGTCATGTATTGTTCATCTCGGTACACGGGGGTAGAATCCAAGAGGGCCATACCGTGGGGATTCTGAAAGGAGTCCATTGCTTGCTCCTATACGATTGCCAGGGACCCTTTTGTTGCTGGGTGTGGGTTGGTTCATGTTTTTTTGAGGCACCCCAAAACTCTTCGGCAAATATGATGTTACGGATTGGCACCACGTTTGTGTCCCTGTGTCCCGCGGCGGCTTTATCAGATGTTTGCCGGCCAATTGGTCGAGCCGCGCGATTTATTTTTAGCTGCCCGGATGTGTTTGCACTATGCTTTGGCGAGCTCGTCACTCAGGAAAGGATTCTTCCTTCGTGGGTACAGCGTTCCTTGGAATGGAATTCTGCAAAGCTTAACATCACGTTTCTCAAGAAATTGGTGGAAAAAACGGAGGTACTCTGAAAGCAATCCGCTGGCTTGATGTTTTTGGGCTCTTTGTGTGGAACTCTTTTGTCAGGCCCCAAACTGGTGGTTGAAATTGGACCTCCCATAGCCTCCAAACCACGAATCCAAACGGGAATCGTCTAATCTTTCCCACTGCGATCGCGATTGATCAGGTCCCCTGACCGCTCATGTTCAAGTCGCCCAATTGGCCAGCTTGACTCTTCGCAACACCCCCCGCCACACCTCCACCACCCCACACACCCCACACACCCAGGGCTCCCCATGTTTCGCTTAAACATCACCTTTCCGGCACAGCTCAGGTGAGCTCTTGGAGGTGATATTTGGAAACATTATCTAGTAACATCTAGGGTCACGGCACACCACGTATCCCACACACACACACACCCACCCCACGTGAGCCACAATCAAAACCCGGGTAGATGAAGGTTAGTAAGGGGCAGTCCCAGCCAGAAATAGTTGCGGCCGCCTTCTTAATTCTTGAAGCATGGGTCTGGGCTTGGACCATTTTACTACCGGGTTTTGATTGTGACTCACGTGACCACAGGCGCTGTTCAAGCTCCTGGACTGCTACTTCGTGGCCTTCCGCCCCAACGAGCTGAAGCCTGCGAACACCTTCAAGGAGGCCATCGCAGAGCTGCCCAGCCGCACGCAACGCACCCGCGAGCGGCGGCGAGTCGGGCGAGTCGGGGCGTTTTTTTCTTCTTCTTTTTTTTCCCCTGTGGAAGGCGGAAAATAACAATTTGCCTTGTAGGGGCTAGGGACCTCCAATTCCTGTTTGGGGTTTACTCCTTCCCTTCCAGTGGGGGGGAATACTTGGCGGAAAGGTGTTCCAGGTCCAAGTAATCATGGTTGTTGTTGGGAAACATTTTGCATTTTTGCTTATTGTGGTTTAGAGGGAAATTCCCACTCAACTGCTAAAATGTAATTGTTTGCTCCCCTTCCAACCTCAACCAAGTAATAGTCCAGCACTTCAATACGCAGCGTTGATGCTCAAGTTGTTGCTTACCCGCAAGGGAGTTGTCCCATCTAAGATCCATCTACGTTCATCCAACGACGGATGCATTTCCACGAGCCGTAAGACCCGCAAAAACTCGGTCCATTACAGTGGCACCCTCAAGCTTATCTTCTAAGAATGTGGCCAGCCCCCCAAAAGTAATTTGAATACCCCTCAACATGTACACTTTAATTTCAGCGCTTTGCGGGTGAGCCGTTTGGGGCTTGAGGCGCCTGAACGGAGAAGACAACGCCCCATCTTTGGCTTCAGCCAACGACTTCTCTAGGCCATGCGCCCCCTTCACGGGTGCGTGAACTGTTCAAAGTTGATTAAGGGGATTCTACAGTAAACAAGCCTTTGGTCACCATCTATGCTGCCGGATGTTGTCTAATGTCACTCTGCGCCACTTCAGACATGGTTGGGCCTCCTGTTTGCTACGGTTCAGTTGCCGCCATGTCCTGCCAAAGCGGGGCGCAACTTTTCGTAACCAAAGTGGCGTCCAGCGGCTGGCATGACTTGGGCACATCACGCGAATTGTCTGTTGGCTCGTGGGAGGATTGCGCTTTCCGCCCTTGTTTCAGCCACTGTCTGACTCAGTTGTTCAAAGCCGACCTTTTGACCTTTTGGTTTTCCCTTGTTGGTCTATATTTGGTAGAGGTCCCAAAAGGTTAACCTTTTATAAACAGGTCCTTTGGGCAACTGAGCTGAGTGCACATTTCAGCTGCTGACATCTGAGGTTCGTCCGCGCCTCAAGAAAACCGCACGTGCGGCTTCTGCGGGCGTCGCTTCCCGAAATAGTGGCCGCCATAGGTTGGAACGGCCGGGGCGGTTCCTGAAAAGCAACATACTTCGGGAGCTGCGCTTGTTTTGTTTTGTTGACTTCTCTTCAAACCCATGTTGACTTGTTGAGCCACTGATGACACCTCAGGTAGTGCAAGTGTTTCTTGCTATAGCCAGATTAGCGCCGGCTCCGGATCATTTCTGCGGAATCGAATGTATTCTTGATTGCCCAGCAAAGAATGCTGCCCAGCAAGGTACTAGTCAGATGAGAAAACCAACTCAAAAAGGGTTTTTGCTTTCTTCGTTTCTGATTCCCTTCAACACCCTCAAAAAGGGCACCCTCGTGGGGAAAAAGAATCCGGGGAGGAGCCAGCGAGACTAAAGGAAGATTAGGAGAGACTAGGAGCACACTACAGGAGACTCGGGGAAGACTACAGGAGACTCAGGGAGGCTACGGAGGAAGGACGTTTGGTCGACTTACCTTAGTCCAGTGATCTTGCCGTTGTTTTGTAGTCTGCCTGTTTGAAATTGCGCCCTGCTTCGTGTTTAAGACGAAGCCTCTCAAAACAGAGGCACCCAAATGGCCTCAACTGGCTGTTGGTACATGAAAGGATGCCAAGGGTCGATTTTATGTAGGGCTTCGACGGGAAGGGCAGGCGATGATTTGTCGGGACCCTCGTTGAGGACTCTTAGTTTGTACGTTTGCTTTTTGGAGTGTGCCCTTTTCAGTGGTAGGGAAGACAACGGGGAACCCACCATTTTGGGGGGCCTATGTTGACACCGAGGAGGGGGATTGCTTGGCATTCATGCCTGACAGGGAATTGTATGGCTTTTCCTCCAACATGGCTACGCTCCATTCCTTGCCAAGGGGGCAAAGGGATTCCCTCCCACCAGTTAACATGGAACCTGACAGGGGGTCCCAAAGATGGTCTTCCAGGACCCCCTGTCAGGTTCCATGATATTTATGGTTTGAATGTTTTCAAAAGAGCTTCTGCGAGCGCCCAGTTGAAATCCAGCCAAAACACCCCGAAATCTGCGACAATTGTTTCGACAATTGTTTCGCAAAACCCTGTGGCCCAAACAATTGTTGCAACAATTGTTGACAAAACCCTGGGGGCCAAAGAATTGTTGCAACAATTGTTTTGACAAAACCCTGGGGGCCAAACAATTGTCGCAACAATTGTTTTGACAAAGCCCTGGGGCCCAAACAATTGTTGCCACAATTGTTTTGACAAAACCCTGGGTCCCAAACAATTGTTGCAACAATTGTTTTGTCAAAACCCTGGGGCCCAAACAATTGTTGCACCAGTTGAACCTGGCAAAACATAGGCATGCAGACAGAACTGCTGCAACCAGTTGTGCAACTCACAGACGCAGCATTTCTTGAAACGTTTTGGTGCTGCAGCGGTTGTTGGACAACTTTGGTGTTGGGCCGGCATGCGATTTCAGTCAGCCGTGTTGCAACTGTTTGGTGCCGCCGTTTGTCAGGCGTCAAGCCTTGCGACTCTTGTAACTTGTAGTTGTAGCCGCCTGGCCTTTTGCAAGCCCCCAGGCGCCTTGAGTGGCCATGGGCCATGGCTTCTTTGATGGACATGGCCCGCATTGCGGCGGCAGCTGCTCAGGCCCCAGCAGCCTTGCGAGCTCCAAGAGCTCGGCTGGGCAAATGGGGAAAACGCATGCGCCGCACAGCGCGAATGCATCAGCTGCGGCGGCATCTGAAGCACAAGGCTGACAGTTTGAGACGTCAGGCCGTAGCTAACAACGCCGGCGGGCGGAGCAGAACCATTGACCACCTGCTGCCCGTCGCAGAAGATGGCCGCAGGGCCAAGCCGTCTGGCAAGGGAGGCTGGAAGAAGTGGACGCCTGAGGCGCTGTTGAGGGCAGCTTTTGCCAGCGAGAATGCGGCGCTTCGCCAAGTTGCGCAAGAAGTTGATGGAGCCAGCGCAGCGCATGCGCGGAGAGCCAGGCTTTTTGTTGCTCAGCTAATCGAGCAAACGCAGCGGGAAGGCATGGACCGTGAGTGCCGCCAGATGGCGCACGCTGCCACTGAGGCTGGACAGGGCCCTCTCTTCCACATTCTAAACATCATGTTCGACGAGACAGAGCTAGATGTCGCCCTGCACGGCCTTGGGCCTGGTACATGGTCCATTTTGGCATCCCACGCGCAGATCAGCGTGCGCGCAGCCGACCAGACCCGAGACTACGACATCGTCCGCCCCCCTCAGGCCTTGCCAAACAAGACTGCGCCCTGCATGTTTGGCGCGCTCTGTCAGAACCTGGGCGGCCTTTGGCCAAGTGAGTTTGCCCAAGCTGCTCGCTTCCCAGTAGTTTTGGTGACTTGTGACCAGTTTAGTGCCAACATACGGCTACTGAAGCACTTGCATGCGTCTTTGCCAGAACATTGTTACCTGCTTCCGAACTTATGCGCCCAACATAGGAATGGCAATGTCGTCGAGAGGGTGACAAAAGCTCTCGGCGTGCTCCCTGGCGCTTTCTGCGTTGCGAAAACTTTGAGCCGAGGGCAGAAAATGAGGAGCCTGATTGCAGCCGTCAAGACAGCCTTGCAAGGAACGCTCATTGTCCTGCCGCAGGAGCCCCCAGGCTTGCAAGCCGAGTGGTTAGCCGGCAGGCAGCACGCTGCCCAGTTTTTGGAGCTCGCCTTTGGCGCAGTTACTGAGAACAAGCGCCGGGCACGGCGGGCCCAGGAGTTCTTGGCCTTCTTCGCCGGGCCCTGGTCAGGACTGACCTGTGGGGGGTGTGTGCATGCAAACGGTCGGGGGTGGTTGGGGGGGGCATGTTCAGGCACACAACTTGCAGTGCAACTAACATGGAAAAGGGGAAATCTCATGGAGAACCTACTGCTGCACTGAAAGTTTCCAGGGCCTGGCTTGTCATTTTTATTCCAGGCCCTGGCCTCATATCTGAACCTTGAGTTTTACACCGGCTCCTGTTATCTGAAATGATTTCCAGGGCCTGGCTTGCTGATTCATGGCTGGCCCTTCTGCATGTTTATTCCAGGCCCTGGCCTCTGATCTAAACCTTGAGTTTTACACTGGGTCCTGGTTTACCTCTGACATGATTTCCAGGGCCTGTAGTTGCTGCTTGCGGTTGTGCCCTTGGTTCATTTCTGCAAGACCAGACAAGACATGAAAGTGGCCTGTGGCCGAGTTGTGATATGGCCTGTGGCCGAGTCTTCGTCGGGAACGCAGGCTGCGCTTGTCCACGGCTTTGCGTGACCGCTTGTTGTTCGTCAGCAGCCGTTTTGCTCAAGTTCACGCGCTAGCCCTGGCGACTCTCAGCCTTGGGTTGCCAGCAATGGCTGACAGTCGCTTCGTGGAGGCCTCCACGTTCGGGCTGGGCAAGTGCTTCCTGCCTGGTGACTTGAGGAGCAGCCAGCTCCGCGGCCTCTGGCCTAGTCCTGAAATGGGTGAGACCGGCTTTGCCGAAGGTCTTGGCATTTTGAAGGACTACTTGGTCACTGACGCGTATGGCGGTGTCAGCGCAGTGCGCTACGCACGAGACGAGTACAACCGGAGGCATGGTCGCTCAAAGAGCGGCAAAGTAGTTCAAGCATGATCGGCTTACCCAGGGCTCAAAGGCCAAAGGCCAAAGGCTACCGGGTAGGGAAGGGGGTCAAAGTACTGTTAGGTCGAAGCCCCCAGCCTGAGCCTGACTGCTTTTGTAAGCCCAAGAACGAAGTGATGTTTGCTTGCTCCATGTTCTCTGTAAACCTTTCAGGAGCCCAATGCACGTCATGCTGGACATCCCAGGGGGCGGCAAGCTGTGGCTTGGAGGACAGGCAGCGCTGACGCCCAATAGCCTCATGCAGAACGAGATCAGTGTTGTCTGGCCTGCTTGCAGG